AGAAAATCCACATACGATCCGCCCAAGTTCTTTTCAACATAAATTTTCTGTCAACGTTTGGGCCGGAATGATTGACGACATTCTAATTGGACCAATCATTTTAACGGAGACAATGAATAGCCCAAGATTCCTAAATTTCCTGGAAACGAATTTTTTGGATGCTTTATTGGAGTTACCATTGGCCTAAAGGGCCAGAATGATTCTGCAATTGGATGGTGCTCCGGCACACTTCGCGCTTCTTGTGCGGAATCATTTAAATGCACACTATTCGTCGTGGATCGGACGCGGAGGAACAATTGCTTGGCCACCGCGGTCGCCGGATTTAACACCTCTCGATTTTTTTTTTGTGGGGCACACTCAAACGAAGAGTGTATGTAAATGTGCCAAATACACGAGAGGAGTTAGCAGAAAAAATAATTCAAGCAGCAAACGAATTGCGAGAAGACAAGGCAATGATCCAGCGCTCTACGCAACACGTTGCACTAAGAGCAACAGCATGTCTGCAGAGACAAGGAGGTCACTTTGAGCAGTTTTTGTAATTATTTTGCCAAATTAAATGCAATTGATATAAATTATTTTGTTTTATTTCATTTGCTAGTGTATCAGCGCTTTTCAAGTAAGTATGTTTACACTGTCATAGCTCCTAAACTATCTAACTCAGAGTTAAGATTTAAATGTGCATTTATAGCAAATATCCTGTATTATAATAAAAACAAGTAAAAAAAATTGGTTAACACGATGGTTTTTTTTAAAGCTAAGAATCTGAAAAACAACATCAATTTGTTGTCTAATTTATTTTTTCAAAAATGTTTTTTACTAATACTGAAAAATTAAAAAATAATATTTTGAATCTAGATTTATTGTCTACACTATTAACTAACATTTGAGACCAATTTTGTTTTTGAAGGTCTTCTACTTGGGTAGATATTGTTAAATTAATACAAGCATCTATGCTTCGCCAACAATTTTTTTTAAAGTGCTGCCATTTTTTTATTGATGGCGAAAAAAAAATCATTGATTCCTGATTTGTCGATAAAATTAATTGTATTTTAACCCCTTAAAGTACCGGACATCGGAAACCGGACACATTGTATTAATAGAAATGGGACTTGAAAATGATTATTATAGTGGCGTGTATGCTGCTTCACGAGCAACTGAGATCGAGTTAAACTTGGACTCGCTTACCGATGTGTCCTAGACATATCATCTTAGTGCTGGTGGTAAGCGGGTTTGTTGTAGCAATATGGCTTTCCCGTGGACATCGCACACTCATACTGTTTTTGGTTGGGTCGTAGCGCATAGCGATGCGTCGTCTATCTTTCGGATTGGGATGAGTGTGTTTGGTAGCAATTTTAAGTGTAACAAGCATACTCAACTTGAGGTCTTATTGCTTTAGCACTATGATATACGTGGAGTATTGTTAACTGGCGTCTTAGTAGCGTACTACTATGATACGTTGGTGTTATTTTTTAGTTAAAAACAATACAAATTTTGTTATCAAAGTCGATAGGGATCATGTGAGGGAGCGCTATCCGTATGATAGTTGCATTGATGCTTACTGCTACTTGCGGTATTGCGTCTTTTTTGCGAGATGGATCTGCGGGTGTGCTGCGTCTGATTCGATGCATCTTGTGGTTCTGGTCGATGGAGGTATGCGGGTGATGATGTCTGCTGGGATGTATGGGGGACCTTGGTATGCTGTAAGCCCGACGATAGTCGTATTGAATCTGTTCTGAATCTGCGTCTGCGTTATTTGGTGGGACGCTATTCTGGCCGGACGCTATTAATGGCGCTCTCTGCGTGTTGGTTTCACTCATACCTAAGTAGCTTTGCTCAAGTCGGGTTCCTTCATTACGGGGCTGCAGACTGTCTGACCTCCATGTTGTTTTATATAACAACATACTAATATATCTCAGTAACTTTCCCACCTTTGGATGATTGAAGGCAACTTGTTGGTGCGTGAGACAAACATGAGCGAAAATGCATATACTCAACGTCAGTTACACAAACCCTTTCTGATGACAAATTATTGCTAACATCTTATAACTGCCTTTTGGCTATATCTGCCGTTGTATTGTTTGGTGGAGCATATGTGTCGACCTCATGCGGGTGGTAGCTGGAGGGAGGATCTGAAGAGACTCTCAAGGCTGCGGTCGAAAGATGCACAACGTGGAACTCCATTTCCTTGAGGTGAGCGGTAGACTCATGACACGCTCTGCGGCTAGTAGCCGTGCTGATCATGCAATTGGTGGTGATGCCATACACTTATCACGATCTTGATCACGTCTGCAGGAGCGGCGGTCTGGCAAGTTGGCAGGTGGTGGCGTTCACGGAGGGTTTACGCACGGAGGGTGCCTAAACCGTGTGACGTACATTTACTGTGGCTGGGTTCATTCGTATTCTGTATTGCGACTTCGGTCGATGTTTGTGCTTACGCACTATCAAGGGGCCAAGCCCTCTTTTAATGGTTCGCCAGTTATTTTGCTGTGGACTACGGTGAACTTCCCGATTTAGCGTTCCCTTCGGGGGGAGTGCATCAAAATGGTTGCCGCTTACCGCGCACGGCGTGTGTGGAGCCGTGTGCCTCCCCCATATTTTTTTAAATAAATGTGGGAGAGCGAAAGCCTTGTATCGGGTATTTTATCTATAAATATATTGTAAGCCTTTTCCAAGCGGGAAGGGATAATTAATAATAAATTAATAATGTAAACCTGAAACAAGTAGAATAGGGACGTTTTTATGTTCTTAACCTTTATCGAGCCCTGTCTGCGTGAACGGTCTTCACTTATCTTATAAACAGTTTTCAATTGCTCTAGCGAATATTCATTCTTCCAAAAGACACCTAAAAGAACTAAGTTACTAAACAAACACAACGTAAATAAGGGTCCTAACTAAGACGATCACTCAAAAAATATTACAAACAGCATATTATTATATATATATATATATATAAAACCTTTAGAAAGATCAAAATATATTTTATTTATTCTGTTCACACACATATATATAAAAAATAATAAATCCATAATAAAGAAATAATTTAATTTATACTAAGAGGGGCTTTACAATGTCACAAACACACAATAAAACTATCATTAGGTTTGATCACTGCACATAGACACCTCCACCTGTGCAACGGATCTTCCTGAGTTTTTTTATGCAGAGGCCATAGGACCAGAAAATATGTGCACCCTGAAGCACCAGGCTTCTCGGTTGCCGATTGTAATCACAACAACGTGTTGCATCTACTGTCGGTTACCACGGAACATTACTCTGCGGCAAAGAGATTTATATGTATAGATATATATATATATATATATATATATATATATATATATATATATATATATATATACTACAGAGTGGACACCGGGAACATTTTCATACAAAACTTTGAGCTCGCGCGTGTGTGTGACGCCTTCTGGCTAAACATAGCAAAACGATGATGAATATTTATTGGGAAAACATTTCAGTTATTTTCCAATAGGTGATGCCAATAAATATAAGATAAAAACCTGTTTTGGGAATGTCGCAGTGGGTACAGTATCATTTACGTTTCACCTCCTTAAACATTGTAGATGATTAAATCGGCATCCTGTATGATATTTTTTATTGATAAACTTTGTCAATTACTAACTCATTTGGTAAATAAATAGTGACGTTACTGAATAACAGAGAGCGCTTATTAAAATACTGATAAATTTTTTAGAACAAGCTATCAGAACTAATAAAATACTTGGGACAATAAATCACATTCAGTTTGCTTCATTTCGGGACTTACAATAGCTTAATGCAAAATCCGGCATATTTTCTTTCAAAAATATTTTTAAATTTAAGAAACGAATGCGACTTGAACTTTTGGCAATGTCACGAAAACAAAATAGCATAAATCCGAAATATATCCCATAGGACTGGAGCAGCACATTTCGTCGCTGACGGCCGCTCTGTTACTACCACTTAAATGTCTTTGCTCTCCGGTCTGTACCTAAGTGTACATATTTTCCTACAGAGGTACCTCCATTTCATCACCTCCATTCCATCACCTGTTCCGGAGGAAATTATAAAATTTAGAAACTTAAGCAACAAGTGTGTGTATCCGTTTGTTTTTATTAGAGCGCCGCTGCTTCGTCATCGTCCTAAATCAAGTGCTAGCGAGGATTATGTCAATTACAGCTCATTGTGCATTTGATATACCTAGTTAACCTGAATGCATTGTGTCATAGTCACAACGCGGCTGGCTCGGCCATGTGCGACGCTCCACTCCCCATGGGTTGGTGACGTAACCAGTTAACGTGGAGCGGTGTCGCGGTGGACGCAAACAAGTGGGTGTCGAGAAGAGTGTATAAGTAAACTAAATGTTCATCAATTGTGTACTATAAGTAACTTTTTATAGAATAAGGGTGACTAACGAGCACACAGTCCACCCGATGATAAGTGGTGCTGTGGCCCATACACTGATACACTTAACTTCGATTAAGAAACAAAATGCAGATGCGTGGTCACCCCTGAGCTAAGATGAAATGCCTTGTTTCCAGTAAAATTGGTCTCCGTTTCGTAGACCGTAGCGTGGTCCTATCCCGGTCAAGTTGATCTACTAGTGCTACAATCTTAAAACTTAAATACAGCTGCGGCGTTGCTCTACCGCGTATTCTTTTTCATCTGTGATCACTCACCCTTCACGTTGTGTTATAATTTGGTTGATTTCTTCGCGACACCTGCGCGCATAATTACATTTCATTAAATCGGTGGGAGCGGCCGCAGCCGCCTTAAGGAGTCGCCTCGATCATCGCTTCCGGGCGTCCGACGCAGTCGCTCGCCGGCTGCGGTGGGAGTTCGTGCTAATTCATTTAGATTTACTCCGTCAGAGCTATTGGTCAATCGTGCGCGTGCGCCGTTTACATACAGGCCCATTTCTGAATACTTGTGGTGTTGCCTGTGCACCGAGTTTACTAGAGCTAAGCAGGTACAGCATCGTTGAAAGTGACAATTGCGTTGGGAGTATGGTGCGAGCTGAGACTGGAACGGGACGATGGTGGGCAGCAGGATGTTCGAGCTATGTGCTGGTGGCAACAGTGGCAGGCTCCCTGCTGCCTCTCGACACCGAACGTCTTCGAGCCAGCGTCGGCGGCTTCGCGGTCATGAATTGCCACCTCGACTTTCCCTTCGGCAATGAGATACCTTATCATTTACAGTGGGATAAGGATGTGAGTATTTTAGGCGTTATAATACCGTCGTACTGCACCCACTATTTATAACGGAGTAGTGGCGGTGTCCGTATATCACTGCCCACAGTCAAGCCGCGGGTGTCAGGAGGCGGCTGAAGGAAACTGAATCAGGCATCTGCCTAGCTATCTGCCTGGTCGTGGAAACTATGACAAAATGCTCCCAATAAGACAATCTACGGGGGAGGCCTAGATCCAAGTATTTGACTTTTATAGGCTGTTACGAACTGTACAATTTAGCAATTTTATTTATTTTAGCTTCGAGAACGTAATTATTTTATAAAGATTGTTCTTGTAAATGTAACAAAAATAAAGGTGTACTAGCGGCACACTGGGAGTGTGTAGCCGTGCTCCCCAGTGACCAGCGTGACCTCGATCCTCTTATTGTGTGGCCAACAACAGATTACCGTGACGGTGCCTTCATTGTTCCGCACAGACTGCATTGCATAATTATAAAGGCTCATGTTGTGGCAGTAGTGGATAACGACGTCTGCCTCATTCTTTGAACTACTAACAGATGATACACATAACTTGTGGTATGCAGCACGAATGGGTCGGCTCGACCGGGGCATGGCTACGCTCTCAGAGAATACCAGCAGAGTTCAATAATAGAGAACCGGAGACCCATTGAACTGGAAATGAGGCATTCGAGTTTAATCCTCAGGGGCGACAACGCATTTGCATTTTAATTCTTAATTGAAACTAAATGTAAACGTGTTTGGGCCACAGCATCCACTCATCCACTTACCTTACTTTACTCAGGTGGATTGTGTGCTCGTTTGTCACCCTCATTCTATCGAAAAGATTTAAGTACTAAGATAAAATATTTATTGCTTTGAAGGTTACGTGTTTAATGCTCACATTACTTTATAAGTAGCTAACCTCACACTTATATATTACGAAGTGAGTTAAAACCAAGCAATATCGGGTGTCAGTAAGTAAGAGAGACGTGTTGGTTATTGCATTGAATTTATAAGTAAATCCAAGTGCTGAGTGCAATACCTCCCACTGAGAATAAAATAAGTAAAAAATAAATACATTTATGAATAACTAATAGAATATAATAAGTATGCTCAATATCAAGTCTGATCATATGAATAAAAAAATAATAATATTTACAATCTTTTTACATTTATTTAATGATATATACATATATATATATATATATATATATATATATATATATATATATATATATATATATATATATATATGTATATATCATAATAAATAAATGTAAAATATTTCTTTAGAAATTATTTATTAGAAGTTATTAATAGGCATTCCTTTAGAAATTGGTTTCACTGTTTGTATAGCTACTTGTACGGTAGTGCTCACACTGACACTTATACTGTAAAATGCGACAAAAGATAGAAAGAAATATTTATGCGACTGACATACAACATTAAGAGGGATAAAAATTCGTACAAATTACGCATTGTTAATAACGCAGTTGTCAAAAAGGATACTAGCCTCAGTGATAATCTGTGGGATACCACAGCAGTGGTTTTCAGTCGCGGACCCTAAATAGTACTGGCCTATTCAAGTCCCGTGATTGATTTTGATTCAAGAGCCGTGGTAGCTCAGTGGTTAACGCTCGCTGTAATTATAACAGAACGCGAGTAACCCGGGTTCGATCCCCGCCGGCACCAATGAAATTGTTAAGTGCAATTTTAAGTGCTGATTTACCACGTGCTCGGCGGTGAAGGAAAACATCGTGAGGAAACCTGCATGTCTGAGGAATGAGAAAAAAAAATATTTCGAAGACATGTGAAGTTCGTCAACACGCATTTGGGCAGCGCGGCGGACACTTCCTTGCCCTAAACCATCTCAGAAATGAGGGGAGGCCTGAGCCCAGCAGTGGGACGTATATAGGCTGTAACTTTACTTTTTTTTTATTCAAGTCCCTGTGTTGATAACAGGTCTTCAGTCATTTCGGGAAGGTTTTTGGACTAGGAAACTCGCCACGCAGTATCAACGCTTTTTAGCGGACTTCGTATATTCTCAAAGTTTATTTAATTTCCTAGAAATGCAGTTTTCATTCCAATGTCTTCCTTCACCGGTAAGCACGTGGTAAATCACTTTAAATACGATTGACAATTTCATTGTTCGTGCCTGGGATCGAACTCGGGGATAAATTGTAATTTACTGTTATAAGTTTCATTATTTTGACACTTTATTAAGTATTTCCTGCGTTCAATTTTGTTTATGATCAAATCAATTGAACAGTGACGTAAAGTAAACCACCGTCTGGGTCGCAGGCCTACGTGTTATTACACGGACATTTTTGCGGAAATAATTCAAAACCTACATTTTAAAATATTTTAATTGATTTTAATAGGTGGGGGGGGGGGTCGACTCGTCTGTTTATCTGCTTACGAGTCTGTATGGGTAGATAAATAATTGATCGGTTAAGCGGCAGTGTAGCCACTGTTGTCGCAATCTTTAAGTTATCCAATGTCATGCTATGCTGCGTTACGTCTTAATTCTCAATCCAGGTGTTTTCTTTAGATGGTTGCCGGCGTCCATAGGCTACCACTACGCTAGGTTACCACTTACCGTTACCATTGCGTAACGTCTGCTCATTTGTAATTGTATTTTTTCCGTACTATCTCATCGTAAGCGTGTTCTCTAGTACAAAATATACAGCGCTAATAGAAAACTATGAAATAAACGTCACTATCAATTTTATTCAATAGAATAATTTTTTATTCATATTAGGTTTTTAATAAAAATATTCTAATATATTCATTTATAAAGTTTTGTATTAGTGGCAAAGTGAACTTGGCCATCCCAGTTGGTACACTAAATCGGCTAACGGATAATTCTATATTTATTTTATTTATTTAATTATTGTGTCACATTTCCGTTACACACAGTTTTTATAATAAAATACACGTAATCAGTGCAATAAATTAAGTGTTATTACTCACTTAAAATAGGAGTCCCATGAGCTAGATATTAATTAACTTACTTATGAGTATTTATATAGACAATATAAATACTCATAAGTAAGTTAATTAATATCTGTAGTATGTTACAACTACAATTACAATAACATGATGTTACGATACAATGTACGGTTTAAAACCGAAATATGTAGTATATCAACAATTTAACAAAATTAATGAATTGAACAAAAACAAATGTTAATGATAAACGCGTAGAGCGCGTGTGTCAAGAGTGCGTGTCTGCGCGTGTAAATGCATTTCCTCACATTTATTTAATCGGTTGAAGAACATTCTCCGTTTCATCATACCTAAGTATTTTTGAGAATCAGTTATACAGTTTTTAACAAAATGAATAGTCAGAACTTTACAATATAAATATAAATCTATTCAAAATGTTCAGAATTATTTTATTTTGGAAAGTTGCACATAACGTTCCCATCACTTTTTATGTAGCTATGAAAAGAGATAAAAATTGATTACTGTCTAATACTGTTTGTTTTTTAATGCTAAATAAGAAATATTTGTTTAAAAAAAATTAGGTAAGAGGATAATGTGTGAAAGCCAGTCTGCCACTTTACTGAATTCCATCTGGACTTCTCTAAAAACTTCCTCCCATGATTTTTCCGCTAATGCAAACTTGCTATTTTTGAGATTTTTGCAGTAAAAATTTTTGATTTTTTCATGGGTAAAATCTCAAGACCTCGTATCATCGACATGCTTATGTTAACAGTATATATGTAGCTTTACCCTGTAGCTGTATATATGACGGAGCCACGTACATTAGGTGACAATCGAGCACACAATTTATAGACGTCCACGCCTATCCTCGACTAAAAATCAAGTCTCAGATAATAATCGAAGGAGTATAATATAATCCCTCGTTATAAGTATAAAGTACCTTCAGTTTTATTCACCTATTATTGTCAATGTAGCGGTTTTATGGTATCTGGTATTTTATGCAGCCATTTTGTGTGAGTGCAGTCCTTCCCCGGTGGAGCCACGTTTAATGCTATCTGCATACATTGTTATAAGCTGCAGCGCTTCTGTGTGAGTGCAGTCCTTCCCCGGTCGAGACATATTTAATGCTATCTGCATACATTGTTATAAGCTGCAGCGCTTCTGTGTGAGTGCAGTCCTTCCCCCGGTCGAGCCATGTTTAATGCTATCTGCATACATTGTTATAAGCTGCAGCCCTTCTGTGTGAGTGCAGTCCTTCCCCGGTCGAGCCATGTTTAATGCTATCTGCATACATTGTTATAAGCTGCAGCGCTTCTGTGTGAGTGCAGTCCTTCCCCGGTCGAGCCATATTTAATGCTATCTGCATACATTGTTATAAGCTGCAGCCCTTCTGTGTGAGTGCAGTCCTTCCCCGGTCGAGACATATTTAATGCTATCTGCATACATTGTTATAAGCTGCAGCCCTTCTGTGTGAGTGCAGTCCTTCCCCGGTCGAGACATGTTTAATGCTATCTGCACACATTGTTATAAGCTGCATCGTGACTCTGTCGCGTACAAATAAACAAAAGCTGTTAATTTTATGTATTGTGATTTGTCGCTTGATTTCAGCATTAATTTTAAAAATAATTAAATAAATTTGCTTTTTTTTTGTTTGCATAGCGCACATGTCAGGACTCTCGCTGTTCTACTTCGGGTACGTGTTGCAGACATGGATGGCACATGTGAGTGAGTCCACTTGATGGCAGTAGTTTGTGCAGCCCATAGACACATGAAATTAACTTCCAACAAAGAATCCTACTGGAACATATACTCCAAGCATCATACTGGCTCTTTATACCCCCTCAGGCTGGAACACAGCACGCACTGAGCTCGGTGGCAGACACGAAGTTCCACCATCTAGTACTTGTAGTTTCAGCCTGATGATGTAACCGATGGGGCCGGGGTTGATATCAAGTCGGGGCTTAATTTATCAAAATAAAAGGTAATTTTGTACTATCGCGGTCCCCTCGTTTTTTGGCTCTAGAAAATTGAAAAATCATCCGATTTTGATGATTTTTTTTAAATCTTCGTCTT